GCTGTGAGTTTGGCGAGCAATCGCTTTTGTGCTGGTCTCTGAGGGCGACAGGGATCCATTGTCGCCGGTTTGGCAAACCCAACGCCGTGAATTTGGCGTTCGATGTCGGCTGTGGCTTGCTTATCAGCCCATTCGTCCCTGATTTGCTGTTTCAGATCTCTTTTGGCTTCTTTGTATTCTTTGGAGCCCAGAGGCAGTTTTTGGATGGCTTTCGTAAGCGCTCTTATGGTTGGATGCGTCGCAACAAAGGCAGACTGCTCTGCCGTCAGGTCGATCGGACGGCGCTGGGAGATGGAGTGGCCAACGCTGCAAGACTGCTTAAGAAGTGCCTGCTGGGGCTTCTGTCCACAAACGATGCCCCAGAGATCAGCAGAGATGTTGTGCCCAAGATAGTGCCTCTGGAAAGGGTCGGAGTTGCTGTGTCCCATGGCTAAATCTCTCAAAGCCTCGCTGACGTCGACTATAATGATAGTTAGTGTAGCCAGCACAGGGAATTGAGCATGACAGACCACTCTGATCAAACGCATTGGCAGCGTTGTTGTGCAGATTGTAGGCTATCGTAGGGTCCTCGAGCCCCATGAGTTTACCGATTCTCTTGATCCAGGCCCCCATCATGCTGTAAGATATGCGTTCGTTATGGGATATCTGATAGCCCGTCAACGTCTCGACAGCTCGACGAAAAATGAAGGTCTGGTCAAGGCCCTCCCTTAATGGTAAGGGAAGCTCTCGCTCAGCAGGATGTATGTCAAGGCTTTGAAGATGATGCGGCGAAGGTGGACTTGATGTACGAAAAGCTCGGTGACGGAAAATAATGCCTAATAGGAAAACGTGGGGGCTAAAGAGCAAGGACGGATCAAATATGGTTTTGGGGATCGTGAATGTTTTCCTAAGATATTAGCTAACCGCGGCGCTTATACTAGAATAGCAGCGTACCTACTATTCCTTTTACCGAGGTAGGTTTTAGTGAATTCAGGGGTGAACTATAGAAGAAGCTTATATGGCCCGGCCTCTGGGTCCCTTGCTAAAGCGACCCGAATATCCTTAAATTATAGGTTAAGCGTTACCGTTAGCCGAGGACCAGTAGGGGTTAGTAGGAGGAGAAAGAGTATGGTAAGGATGCGCATTTCCTTGAGTTTAAAGGACTTCTTTGTCGTACTAAGCGTAGTCTCATTCTGCTGTATCAGGTCTTCTATTACTATACAGCAATTGGCTCGCCGCTAATCATCTAGACCGTGCCTCTTTGATAAACGTTATAAGACTTAGATTAGTTAGTTATAGGACTGGCTTAGGTCCGGGAGAGATAACTTCCCTATATATGCTTCGATTCAACTTTAGATTAATCCTATTACCCATAGCTCTCTCGAACACGAGTCAAAAGACCTTCTAGTATATACCTAGCGAGCTTTTCTTCTTAATTCTACGTTTCTTCCTACCGTCCTTACCGACCTTCTAGTTAAGGAACTAATCGAAGAAGGTATGTACGATGCGAGTGGAGATAGTCTCGTAATATTATTAAACGTCGCGCTTAATAATAGCGCAGAATCTATACGTAAATAAAAAGACGGCTTGCTTGCCTTTAGAAATAGCAGTTCTAACATACTATTTTTAATACCTATTATATTAGGTAATTCTCGGCTATACTAACCCTTGCTATTTTTATAAGTTTATAAAAGAGCGCCTACCCTACCTAATTCGTTAATATACCTCGAAGTTCTCTTTATATCTTTTCTTTTTTACTATATTTATTTATGCTACTTAGCTCTCTTATTGGCCCTATTTATATACGCTTTTTACCTCGATCCTTATATAATCTTAGCCTTTTTTTAACTCTTATCCTTTGCGACGGCCTAAGTAATAAACCTAGGTTTTTACTAAAGCTAACTAAAGCTAGCTAAAAGTAGACCTATATCGGTACTTCTAATTACCTATAGTAGTTGTGCCGATATTAGGTATAGTACGCCCTATTTAGTAAGCTTTGCTCTGTTTTACTATAATAGTATTACTAATTTTTTTAGTATATAGCCGCTTTTAGTAATTTCGTTACCCCTTATTTAGTATTTTACGTTTACTCTTCTCGTTAATTACTAATATCGAATATTAAAAACGCTTAGCGAAGCGCTTAATAGGCCTATTACTTATCCTCGTAGGCCCTCTACCTATCTAGCTATATCTACCTCGCTTTACTATTAGACTTAAAATTGCCTCTTTTAGAAATTTAGGAGATAAATAGTAATTATAAAAAGCGCTATGAGATTATACGACTATGAATAATGGTCCGAGACGTTATACTATTTTAATATGCTGTGTTAGGTATTATAACGAGCGCTCGGGGGGAGGCCCTTAGTCTTAGCCCTTCTTCTAGCAAGGGGAGGTAGGTATTAATTACGAATTATTATATTTAGGAACTAATAATCCTTCTACCTTATTAGTAATTAGAGTATTGGTAGTAGTGGAGAGAAACTTAGCATATGTTACGGAAACTAGTTTTTAGCTTACTTATAAGCTAAGAGAGGGTAATATCTACTTTACTAGGGGTTTTTTATACTTTAGGACGCATTAGTTAGGAATTATAATGGCTGGCGCTAATAAAATTGCCTTATTAAGTAGTTTACGTCTTAATTATAGCCTAGACTTATTACCCACCTCTAGTAAGATAATAGTAATAAGAACGGCCTCGTATATTTAAAATAAAGTATACTAAACGCTCTACTATTAAATAATAGCTTGCGGAATATTTAGCTAAAGTAAGGTTTTTAAAAACGGCTATAAATAGTTACGGAGGTTTTTATAATATTATAATTTCTTAAAGGACAGCGCTATAAATATAGCGGTATTTTTATAAAAAGAGGGGCGAGAGCTCGCTAACAATAATATTTCTAAATTAGAATAATCTTATACTATAAGTAGAATAGCTATACTTTAAAACTCGTTATCTCCGTACCCGTATTTAGGAATAGGAAAAATAAATAACCGGACTTTATTTAAAAGTTTTAGTTAAGCTAGCTCTTTAGCTTAACGAAATTACCTAAAGAGGTAATTTTCGTTTTAATATACTAAGTATCTAGCTCTACCTAATCTCAGCTCTTAATAAAACGGCTTTAGTATTAGTTATATTATATATACGAGACAGTAGGCGCTAAGAAGCTCGAAAATATCCCAAAGCGCTAGTATAATAATTTTAAAATTATTTAACTACGAGCCCTATTTTATATTTTAATAAAATAAGCTTATTATATAGTTTATTTAGTATTATGCGTAATATATTATATAATTAGCCCGGATAGTAAAAGGGTAAATAACTTTTTTACTTATACTTAGGTATAAGTAATTATACTAGTTAGAAGGTTTACTAAGCTTAACAGAGGGTCGAGTTTAGCTAAATAGGCCTCTTTTAGTATAATTCTAAAGCCGAATACCCGCATTAGTTAATAAGTATAGATTTTAAATTAGTAACTATAATTTATATTATTAAGAGCGCCCCTAGTAATTAAAATAGTTTTAGTTTATTTTAAAGTCGGTAACGTAGCTCGTAAGACTTAGTTATAGGCTTAGGGCTATAGTTTTATACGTCCCTTAGTAAATAGTTAGCCCGGTAAGTCCGCTATTATAGCTATTTTTTAATAAGACGAAATAGTAATAATAAAATGCGGGGGGAGCTTATTAATATTTTAAGGATATTGGCTAGGCTTAGAAAGGAATATTTTACTATTTAAGACTCTATATAACTAAGTAATTACGTTACGTTAGTATACTAACTTTCCCTAGCTTCGAGTTCTAACGTAAGTATAGAAGCTATAGGCTCCTCGGTAAGTTAATAAGCGGATTATTTAGCTTAGCTATCGTGCTCCTAAATAGGGACTTATTACTATATAGATAACGAACGTCCTATATAATACCCTCCTTTTTTTATTTTTATACTAACTAGTTTATACTAAAACACTTAACTTTACGTTTCTTTTCTAACTAACGATAGTTAAGCTATAGTTTAGATAGTTAGATATCGAGTTTATAGGAAGGCTTTATGAAAAAATAGAGCGTAGTAGAAGCTTATATAATTAAAATACTAATAAGAGCGTAGAGAGTAGTAGTAGCTATAATTACCCCTCTTACTAACTAGCTTAACTACGCTTAAATAAAATATTAAAAATTTAGGGGTAGCGTAAGCCTAAATAATTAGTTATACGTTAAGTATGCTTTTATTATATTCCTTTTTTTAAATAATAACTAACGATTAATAAGCGATTTTTATAACTTTTTTAATTTTAACCCTAATTTTAATTAGTTTAAAAGTCTTAATATAGCCGAGATCGTATATACTATATAGGCTTTAATATTACCTTTTAGGATAGATAATATTATAACAGTAACAACCGGATCCTTCTCTCTTAGTAATATCTAGCTATACTTAAAATACTAATTACTTTATATACCCTTACTTAACTATTTTATAAAACTCGCTTTTTAAAAAAAGGTAAATTCTTTACTTAAAAACCTTTTTATAGCTTCTAGCTTAGTTAAACGTATAATAAGATAACTCTACTTAATAAGTTCTCTTATTAATAATAAGAATATAAGTAAGCGACCCTTATTTAAAATACGAAATAAGTTAGGACTAACGAATATTATTTAGTCGTTATAGATAAAGAGATAAATAAGAGCAGTAAACCCCGTTAAAGCTATAATACTAATAGCTTAATTAATAATAAACTTAGTAACTCTTATAATAATACTTATAATAAGACCCGTATTATAGAATTAGTAGTCCTAAGACCTAAATTTACGTTTTAAAATTCAGTAAAAATATCCGTATTATAAATTTTCTTTAAAAACTATCCCGTAATACCTAACTCTATAGTTTATCTGCCTTTTATAATAAGCTCTACCCCTAGTTTCTTAATTAACGCTTCTACCGTCCTATTAAATAGGGTAGAAGACCCTAAAATAGAGGTTATTATACTTTTTATTCTACCCTCTAATTACGCCTCTATCTTTTTATAAAATAATAATACTATTATTAATTAGGGAAAACGAGGTTGCGGGGCTATTAAAAATAATTACGAGAGCTATAGCCTTCGCTTATCTAAACAAAGGAGATTACGAGATATTAATAGTAAGATAGTATTACTAGTTCTATAAGCTAGGACTTTGTACATATTACTATTTTAATAGAGGTAACGACTACTAATTATAACTAAAATAACTTTACTTCTCTTTAATCATCGCTTTTTTAAAAAAACTAGCTTTAAAAGTTCTAACTAAGTACCCTCCCCTTTTATTACTACCTTAATAAGTTTATACTTAGTTATATACTATACGTACGGCTTTTTTACTAAACTTTTACTATAGATAAGCGATACTATTTAAGCTCTCGCTAGGAATATGACTAATTTATTTAATAATTAAAAAGGATTAGATATTCTTTACTTATTCATTAAGCTTATTAAGGACCATACTACTAAGCTTTTATATAACGTAACGAGTAGGAGTAAGAATAGTTCCTATAGCGTAAAGAACTATAATTATATAGTAAAAGTAGTTATTAAGCCGTTAAATACTAAGATAGTTAAAAACGACGAGAGCTTAGATAACTTAAATAATAATAATAATAAGGGCGTTAATAAAAGCGAAAGCGAAAGTAATAGCTCGGATCTTAGCATTAGCTTAAAAATTTTTAAAAATAGGGCTAGAATAACTAAGTATTTACGTTAAATATATTTAGACGAACTACGTCTTTACGTATAGATTTAAGAAAAAAAGGAGTAGTTATAGATTATTAAGAAACTAGATAGAAGCGAGTAAGCTATTTTTTAGTATTAGAAAATTATAGTTAAGTAGGAAAAGAGGCTAAGAAAGAGGTAAATAATATAAGCTAGTTCCTAGTATATACTTTTATTAAATAATTATTATATCTTCTTCTATACTTATTTTTATCGCTCTCCGTTTTTAGCTTTATTACGAATTATATTTTTAAAATTAGTATTAATTAGTACGTAGCTTCTTCTATTTAAGTTATATTATTTAGACCGAAAGCCTACTTAAGCGGACTTTTACGTACGCTTAAGTATATTCTTACGTAAGCAGCTCTATTTAAGCATATTTATACGTAAGTAATTTTACTTAAATAGTATTTTACCTAAATAAATATACTAAAATAGTCTTTTACGTATATAATAAGCGTATTAATAAATATATAAGAGTCGTACTTACTTAAGTAAAGTATATATAAAGTATTTTTATAAAAACTTTTACATAATAAAGTTATAAAGCTATATTTAAAAAAAAGCTTAGAAGACTATTTAACTTTATAAACGTTATTAAAGATTATAAATTAGGAAGAGATCTTAGCTCTAATATTTATTAATTTAAAACTAAGTCTTAGTAGTAAATAGAACTCGTAAAGTTAAAAAATAGTACGGCCGATTATAATAATCGAAACTACCTAGTTATATATAGCTCCCTAAATATATTAGGGAAGCTAGCTAGTTAGACGCTATTTACTAAGCTTTTTTTTTTATAAAATCTTTTACCTTAGATAGTTTTCCTTTATCCCTAATTAAGTACGGTTATAAATTTAAAAAGTAAAATTTAATACTTAAGGTTTTTTTAAATCTTTAACGCTAGCTACGATTTATAAAATATAGAGTTTAGAATTAATTCTAGGTTTTAGTATTTTAAAAACGGTCTTTTTTATTATATTAAACCGATCTAACTTAACCCTAGCGTTAGTAATATAATTAAGCTAGCTTAATAAGTACTTACGAGCTTTCCCATATTAATTTATTATATTATAGATAAGCTAACCTCTTATAGTTTTTTTTAAAAAAGTAATTTTTTTTAATATATAGAGTATTATAATACCTAAAGCTTATACGTCTCCCGGGGTCCCTCGTATTCGTTATATAATAAGGTTAGGCAGGATATATTAAGGGGTATTACTAGGTAGCTCCTTTTTATTTATTATCATAGCTAGTTTAAAATCTAAAAAAATAGCGCCGCGCTTAGGTAAATAGGCAATATTAGCTAGTTTAATATTATTATAAATAACCTAATAATCCATAAAGTAAGTAAGGGCGGATAACGTATTATAAAGTATTTTTTACCTGTTACTAGCTTTAAATAGTAAAATAAACTTACGGTAGAGGGATAGGAGAAGCTACTTAATAAGTATAATAAAAACGCGGCTATTAAAGGCCTTTAGAGTAACTATATTTAGCTATTTATTTTTAGTAAAAGACCGATATATTATTCGTTTTTAGGGTAAAAATATATATAATATAGCTTTTTTAAAAATACTTTTTTCTATTTTTAAATCGATACGTATTTTATTAGGTTTTTAGACGTTTTATTTTTATATTTAATTACTTTTACTATAACTTTTTTTAATAACGCTAAGTAGTAGTTAGTAAAGAGACTAGTTAATAATATATTAGTAATTTACTTAAGCTAATAAAGTCTATAAGTAGTTTAATTACTATACTTAGAAACCCCGCTAGCCCCTCTACTTAGAAATAAATAACTAACCTCGTTGTTTTTAACTTATTTAGAACGGACAACGGTAACTCCTCTATCCGTAAAGTTAAGAAGTAATATACTACCCGTTTAAGTAATTTTTTACGAAGTTAGAATAGTAAGACTAAGGCTTTTAGTACTATCAGTAATAATAGCGTTAGTTAATTTACGTATTACGTTTATAACCGTAGTTAGAACGACTTTTACCTCTCCCCCCTCCCGTTTTTATTACTTACTAGTTTTTTACTTCTTACTAGACATAAGGCGCTTAGTAAAAGCTAAAAAGCTAAGTAAGCCTTTATATAAAGTAATAGTAAATTACCTTTATTATATTAAGAAGTTAGCGATATATTACTTAGCTATAAGATTCTTAAACTCTACCAAAATTCTTTATATACCGGGCTTAATTACCTCGGTCTAGTTATATAATAAGTAACGGTAGCTCGTTAAAGAATATAAGTTAGTAAAATAGAAATCTATATATAATTTATTAATTAGAACGTAGTTATTATTAGTAGGATCATAGTAAATACTATACTGAACTTATAAAAGTATAAACTGCGTAGGTCTCGGGTTATAGGGATAGTTATTAAGAAGAACGTATAGAATAAAGTTTACGTCCTACGTACGCTATATTATACTAATTATATTCTACTTATTAATTTTATATAGTAAAGGAATTATAGTAGAGTTAGTATTATGTAGTTAGTGGTAGTAGGCGAAAATAAGACGAGTATTAAGTAACGAGGCGAGGGATACGTTAAAAAAAGCCTTAATAACTTCGGTAAGCTTAAAATTACTAGGAGTTAGTAATATTGTTACTCTCGTTACTATATAGGTCTTATTTTACTTAGCTAATTAGCTATTCTCTTAGTATTCTGCTTTAACCTAGTCTATATGCCGTTATAGATTAATAGAGTTGCTAAAAGCCTAAGTTAATTCGCTACTAAGGGAACTTATCCTATTTTAATAATAAAGGTAAGTAAGTAAGGTAGTATAGCTTCGGGGGTCCTTTATGGCTCTAATACGGGCTAAGGTAAGGTATTATAAGTAATTATCGAGACCTTATTAAGGAAATGCCCAGTAAGGTACTTATACCTATATATCGGACCGGAGATAAGTAGCGCTAGTTTAGCGCCTATATTTAAAAAGAGCGCGCGCTTGCTCATTAAACGGGTTATAATTAGTACTAAGGCTAGCTAATAACTAGACTATATTATCCGTTATATATAAGAAGCCCCTAATTTTAAAAATAGGACCTTCTCTACTACCCAACCTCTAAATCGGCTATCCATTTTACTATAGCATCCTCTCTCTCTATATATTCTCCTTTTATATAAATATACGTATCGAACTTTATATATTTAATTCTATTTTTACTATCCGCCCGTATACTTAACGGACTCGACTACCTAACCAACGATTTAACTACTATTAATACCTAAAAAAGAATTACAAAATACCCGCCTTCTAGCTACTAAAAATAATATATAAGAAAAATAAGGCCTAGAGACGAATAGCTAAGCTAGACTTTCACAACCTAAAAATAATATAGGGTAACTATTAGCAGCGGTTTAATATAATTATAATCCTACTCCTCGATAAGGATGCCTATTTTACTAATATTATTATTACTATAAAATACGCTAAGAATCGTAAATACCTCGAAGAACTTTTTACTACGAAATACAAAGAGCGCTACCAAGATCTTAATAATTTTATCCATAATATCGCTCTTTTATTTATTACTTCTTAAAAGCACTTTTTATTTATAAATACTTACAATACGGCGCTTAAAATTAATTAAACTAGTAATATAAATAGCTTTATATAGTTCGTATATAATATTATTTTTAATTAGAGTAGGGCCGAGGATAAGTAGCTAATACGCGTTATTACTACCAATAATATTAATACGGTTAGAAATAAATTCGATACTTAATACAATAGCAATGCGCAAAATAATATTTCTAAAAATAGAGGCGATTTATAGGAATATAAGAACATATTCCCCCCCAAATTATACTCCTTACTTAGTTCAGACGAATACGTAAATAACCCGTAGAGTTAGACTTTATAAAGAGGAATAATTTATAACAATATAGATAAGATAATTTTAGAGTACTAATCTTAGCTATTATTATTTATAAGTAAGTATAATATAAAATTAGCCTTATTAGTAAAAGTAATAACAAAAAAAGAAGGGGACTCTATCAAACGGTTACCCAAATTAATAAATATATTACTAAAATCGCTAATAACCCTAAAATTACTATTTAGGCTACGCCCTACGTTACTACAACCAACGGACGGTTTATTTATTATTACTACTATATTACTCTTAAAAAACTCTCAGTTAAGTATAAGCCCCTACCTAGTATAAACTACGTTACCTTATATATTATACTCCTTATTAAAGCTCTCTTATACTTAATTAGTAAATAAATCTAATTTTTTAATAAGGATAAGTATACTTACTAAATTAGAGAATAAAAAGTAAGCGGGTTAATATACGCGAGGCAGAAGCGGGGCTATAGGGCGTTATTTAACTAAGAATCGATTATTTATTTATAAGAGTAACGAGGAGACTATAAATAAGGAATATTATTATTAGAAATAAAGGGTTATAACCGGGGACTCTCCTATTAAATCATCGCACCCTATTTTTCTAGTTAGGACGGATATAAGGACTAGCGAGTAGAGGTATAAAAACATAAGTAGCCGTGCGTAATAGTATTACTATAGCTTTATAAAGATAATAATCAAGTATCGCCCACTTCCTGGGCTATATAGGGCACGATAGCCGTACAACCACGCGTGAGTAGTACATACTACCTACCACTAGCCTTCCAATACAATCAACCGAATAGGCTGGGGACAGGAAAGATGGCCAAGGTCAGGGTAAAAGTATCTTTTAATTAGTCGAGGGCCTCTAGCCCCGAAAGTGCGAAGAGCGTGTCATCAGAACGCCTCACTGAACGAATGGGGAACCCGCTCGCTGCACTCGATTTGGCGCTGATGCGCCATAAACGAGGCTAGCAGTCACTTGGCATGTCCTTTTTTAGGTTACTAACTTGGGTCATCGTACGGTACGCGCCGAGGCCGACAGGGACCGGGCTTATCGGGTTGGTCGGACGCACTGGAGGACGCTGCTATTTCCCCCTTGGCACTGCCCTTTCCACCAATGCCCGTCCATGCACAAAGCCAGAACGCCCAAGAAGCATTGGATATGAGAACGAAAGGCTGCATTGTACCATTGATTTGGTGCATCGGTCTGTGCTTCCTCACATGCCACTCCACTTCAAACAAACAGGCATCACTTTGATACGCCCTGCTTCGCACAACCGAAAAGCAATACACTATGAACCGACCAGCCTTGCCCTTGCATCACCCTCATATTGACTCCCATCGCCGTCAACGGCTTCAAAATCCACTCATATAGAAACAAATAAATCACGAGACTGCTCACATTGCTACCAGGGCCTGACAACGATGCACCTATCATTCTCGGCATCCTCGCGACGCGCGGAGCCTTGCGGATGACCAACGCTTGTGTGTAGTCCTGATGTTGCAGGAATGATATTCTGATCATGTCTCTGAGGATCTTGTTGCGTGCGTGTTCCGAGCGGGTGTACACGACACTGCTCAATTGCTTCCGCAGAAGAGTCGGCGTTATCGATAATCCGATTGCCGGCTACGGTGTATGCCTCGCAAGAATCACCGTCGGTTGTTGTCAAAGGTGGTGTGTTCTCAAGAACATGGTCTTCTTCCATCTTCATTCAGGGTCCTTCCTCCGTCGACATCACGGCTTCATAATCAGGCTTGGTGACAGACCACAAGTTTGTCTGCGCAGCTGATTCATCTGAAGCAGTCGTTGCGACTGGCAAGGCCTGAGATAGCACTGGCGCTAGTCTGCGATTTTGTGGCTGGAAAACAACGATTCGATCGTGTTCTTGGATATCAATGTCTATCGAGCATAGAATGGGCGAGTCCCGGTGACTGAACCATGTTTGAGCTGCTCTGCCCATGATTCGCTGAGAAGGAAGGATTTGGACAATCACTTCCCCAGGTGTCCGAGGGAAGCTTGTGGTTGCTATGTATCGAGGTCCTTCACGGGATACGTACTTGCGCAACTGAGCAAACTCTTGCCATTGCGACGTAAAAGTGACTTGACTTCTGCAAGTTAGGCCATTGTCTAGACCGCGGGCGGAACACTTACAAGCTGCCGACTCTGGTTTGGAAGTGCCACGCGTGATTGCAAATGGGCTTGGTGGAATGATGGATGATTTCAAGCCGCTCATCCATAATATCCTGTTGCATCAGATATGCTGATACCAAGCCCGTCCCGCCGATGAAGCCGTGAGGCGTGACGTACAGAAGCTCTTTGCCTTCCGTGCTCAGAGTGATGTTGTCAATTCGCTGTATTCTCAGCTTCGCAGTTCTATAATGAAGCAAACCGGAAGAGTCCATGTTGTGAGTGGACTCGTATCGAATGGTTCCGAGAGTGTCGAGAAAAGAATCGAGCATGGCTTTGCATTCCACACTGTCTGATGAGAACAACGTACGTATTGGCAAAAAAGAATAGGAAACCTGGTTTTTAAATAGACTATGTGAACTGTGGTTGAGGGAAATTTCTACAACCTCGGTCTTTGAAGTCGACACCTTCCGTATTCAACCAAGACAGCATCAAGGCATCGGGAACTCGCTCATCTCAGCGGTCTTCTAAAGAATAGCACTGCTCTGTGCTAAAGCACAGGCTCAACTAGAAGCATTGTCAATAGTGTTCAGGACACGGACCCTCCTCGTACGCGTCTTACAACATCGAAAACACAGCCGATCCACAAATCTAAACGAGGTGCTTAAATCTGTGCACTTCTCGCTCGACTAAGTGCATGGATTTGTGCACCTGACAGCTGCGAGTCTAACACTGACGTTGAGCCAGCGATTCGGCGAATACTCCGAGTGCCTGTGTCAAAGCTTAGTGGAGTTCGTGCAGTTCGCCTGGGTTTCTTGCTATGCTCAGCTTGGCGACTGATAAGCCAATAGAAACAGAAGCAGTGAATCCACAAGACTTTCTCCAAACAATCGTACTCGAGAAAGGCGGACCTATCATCTGATGACAACAAGACCCATGCCGTAGCATGGTCGGTGGGGCATTCTGTGTAGGACTACAATTGGTCTACAACTTAGATCTCACGTGACGGTCTGTTTTTGATAACCAAATCTATGTGAGGAGAAAGGAAGGATAGTTGCTTGCTCCAATCATCCATCTTTCTTCGTCAGCCTACTTTGTCTTTACTTGTCATGATGACTGAGGTCCTCAACATTCAGTGCCATGTGTGTTCGCTACAGTTTTCAACGCCGGACCTGTTACAACAGCATGTCTGGCACTACCAGGTAAGAAGGTGAACTCATTGGCCAAAAACACTAGTTAATTATTTCAACCAGGCCGAAATTGCGGCAATGCTCACTAGGCTACACGATCTCTTCGCCCATCATGATCCAACACCTAACATCACCATTTCGACAGACACCTGCACTTCCTCAATACTGATAACCGACCCGAAAGCTGTCGAATCCGCCAACGATGCCCAGCCGTCAGTTTTTGCGGCAGACAAAGCGAAATCGATACCCCAAGACCAAGGACCGATTGACGAGGTGGACTTATCCTACCCACAGAAGACGTTTGCATGTCCAGAATGTCAAGCTGTACTGGCAAGAAAGCAAGATCTTGAACGACACTACACAATTCGTAAGACCGCCATTATCACATCTCTGCTTTTCGCTAGCTCATCGTAGCCAGATTATCAGTGCAAAGAATTTTGCCAATTTTGTTCCAGTACATTCACCAGAGCACGCAAATACATTACTCACAAGTGCACAAAAGGCGGACCTCAACATCAACGATCGTATACAAAACGGAGATGCCTCCGGCTATGCGCCGAAGCTAAGAAGGACTTACAAGTAAAACGAAACCAGATCGAGCATACGTGCGAGAATGTGGATCGCACTTCGAGGCGCGTGGACAGAACTAAAGTCGTCAGTACAGACGCATTGCAATGTCCAGGTTTTACTACTTCAAAAGCGGACATAGCTCTCGACATAGGAGGTGACGGCTTATCTCCTCGGCTTGACGACGTAACCTTTGCAATTCGGAACCCAGTATTACGCACTGCATACGACGCAAAGTCCTCCAATAATATACAGCTCCATCCGCCCCTTTTTCTACCTTCCAACATCGACTGGCAGAGTCAAATGTCGGAATTTCCTACTCCGCTATGGTCCAACTATCCCACTAACGCAGGGCGAAACTCGCTATCGTTTTGCCCAGGCGTGGCTTCCGAACTGATGTTGGTGTCTGAACAACCGAATCTTGAAGTATCGTTGAGGCAGCCTCGAGCGCAGGGAGAGATGACGCTTCTAGAATAATTGGAAATGGCTGCACATGCTCATTGATCATTTATCTCGGCTCTAAACGCATTGTCGCGTTCTGCAGTTGTCCTCTCCATACCGTATGTGATCGTGAAGCCCGCTGTCCTCTCGAATGGGAGTCGTACGTCCGTAATCATGCTGTTCAAGTGGATGTCAGCATGGCATAGATTACACAGTCTTTTTGCACTCACATGCCACCCTTGGGCATATCTAAGGGCACAGGCTTGGAGCCGTGGGTTTTCAAGGACGCACCAGGTACTTCAAATAGACCGTTTGAAGCTGGGACAGCCTTGAGCGATGCCTTGTGTGCTCCCTGATACAGCACCAGCCTTGTTCCTGGACTCCATAAGGACAAGACCAGACGATGTGACTGATCTGGCTTGGGCCAAAAGCAGAAAACCTGGAGAGGCTCAGGACCGAAGGTATGGCAGCTGTACGGGTTGGGTGATTCGAGGAATCCCTGAAGTATTCGGCGCACAGTCTACTCGAGAGTTAGTCAAGAATGGGCTACGACGCCTACCTGCTTACAGAGTTTGCATTAATCATATGTGCGAAAAATTTCCAACTTTCGCGACTGGCGGAGAGCCCAAGATCATCCACCTCCTGAACCAGTTTGCCGAATTGCTCGTCTTCGAAGTAAAAGGCTCCAGTGTCGTTGAAGATATCGACCGTTCCGTCGTTAGAGGCTGCTGTCGCCATGGTTGTTGATGCAAGCCGTCCACATCGAGGGCGAGAAAACCTCCGCTGATCGATGTACCCGACGTAGTGCATGCTGGGCTCGCAGCCTCGTGGCACCTTGAGGCCCAACAACCCCGTAAAAAGGTTGTTCCTCGGCGATTGGATTTCCATTAGTGCGTTTAAGCGATCCTGTTGCTAGTCACACGCATATTCGGGTTTGCCACGTCTGGGCTATATATAGATTGTGCTCAGCCCACCCCTTGTGACCTCGCAGCTGAGGTGTCATTGACCGAAAATCCCCAACCACGAGAAGTGAGTCGCTACCCGAAGGACGTCGCTTAAGGCCGTGCTGACGTCGCAGAACGAAATTGAGTCGGAACCATGCCTGGTTGTCAATATTGCACAGAAGGCGTGACATCTGAGGGTTGGATTTGCACAAGATGCAAAAATCAATCCGCCACGGCAAAAACCATTGTGATCTCTTCAACTGTATCGCCCGGTTCTCGGTCGATTTGGAACCAAGTCGAAGATTCCGTAAAGACTGGGACTTCATGTAGGAGGAGATAGGCAAAATACCATCTATAAAGGCCCTCGAACAAAGCCACTCACTGTAGCAGAAGCATCGCTTTTTCATCATAAAACATGTGAATGTTCTGCATAAACGCTTCAGTCATTACGTCCTTACTCCTCTTATGCAATTAAACATCTTATAGTAGCATCGTGGCAATCAACGATGAGGCGACTTTCTCTCCCAATGATACTAGGATGTGATGTCCCCACAATTTAAGTCTGATAGTGCACTCAGGTGTGCATGGTGCACTAAAATGTGCACCAAATTGTGAAGTGCAGATGGAGTGCACACTTCTAAGCACTCCAATCGAAGTGCCCTTGTGGAGCACTCAGAAGCCGTGCAGGTGCATGGTGCACGTTTTGGCGCACTGAAGAAATGAAAGGCTATTGGTTGGTTCGAGATATCACGTTTCTCCTCTATGTGAAGCATTGCTACATGATGAAAAGATTGGTTATCTTATTTATGCCCAGGAACAGCCAGACTCATCTTCGACTGCGGGGCGCACGTTTACCGCGTCTGTTTCAATAAGCTCTATTGATTGTTGAATTGACGTCACCCGATCCTATGAGGAAGTGGATAAAACTGGTGAACAAGCTGATTGAGAGAATATTTCTGACCCACTTCCCTGACTGGTTACCGCCTGACTATATGGCGAGCGTGGTGACAAGGTCAAATTACTTCCAGCGACTACGCTTGGCACAACTATGCGGAACCTAGGTCATCATAAATGGTGTTGTGAGTGAAGACTATGGTAGGCTTTGTTCTGCGACTAGTGGCGTTCTGGGTCGAGGAAAAGGGCTGGTCATCTAATATCCAAAGTTCTAATGTCTGCAGTTGTCGTTCCGGTGATTCCAATGCGGCTGGTCTCCTGTGGACTGATGGAGAAATGCTTAAACGGCAGCTTCAGCTCAAATATGAACCTCTAGCAATAGCGAGAGTCAAGTGCGAGGTGTGTAGTGCATCCTTCCTAGTACTTAGTGCAAGGTGCACACTTACAGGCACTTCGCATTCCACTCAATCTTGCATCGTTAGCGAGTAGCAGAGAAGCAGAGAGTTGCTGCAGGCCTGCAGAATAGGTGTACAGAGACGAGCAACAAACAGCCATCGATCATCACTCAAGAACCTTGGAAATGCCAATCCTTGTAAGACCTCCGTAGCTGCATCTCACAGTCCTTGACTTAGTGGCTGGCAAGAAGGCTTCTATCCGCGGTTCTGGCAGAAGTCATGGTAGCCGTACGGGCTATAAAATTCTCTTCTGCCCCATCTTCTCTCAAACATGCTATTGCCCCAGCCATACCCAGCTCTTATCTACCGTATCACTGGCTAAATTCGTTGACAAGTCGACCTGACCTACCATCGGGTCGTTTGCTTCGACAATCATCTCAGTTCCCAGAACCTTCTTTCATTCAATAACATGCATTACTCGAGTTCTACTGGGGTCTCCATAATGGACATCTTCTTCCCTGGCTCTACTAGCGCTATGGCGGTGTTAAACTAGCTTCTTAATAGCACTTTAGATAGCTTTGCTATAATATTATGCGTCTGCGGACTGCTTATTTTTAGTAGTAAATTTATATACGATATTGTGGGAGGCTTTGTAGATATTTACTTAAGTTGGTAGTCCTTTTTTTTTAATATTTTAGTATAGTATTAATATTCCTTAGTATTTAGAACTGACGTTTACGATTTTAATGAGATATACGATATGCTTGAATACTAGGTCTCTTCTTAAGATTTTATTAAAAAGGCCTGTTTATTTTTTATTAGCGTTAATAGTAGGCGAGGACGAGCTTTGTTTTATTTAGACTGTAATATAATAACTAAGAAGCCCCTCTGATTTACCCTGTGGAGAGAACGAGTATATTTTTGGTATAGAGGGTATTTACTCTATTTATAATGTACGTAAAACGAGGTAGTACTATTTTTTTATAAGATAATGATTATTTTTTATGTTAGCGGTTCTTCTTAAGTCTTATGAAACCTTATGGGCGAATGCTGCTTTAAATACCTAAAGATATTAAAAAATAAGACTTTAATTTTTGAGTATTATAATAACGGTTAGAAAAGAATTATAACTTGAGAAATTAGGCCGATTTAAATTATTATTATAAAAGAAGAGTTAAAGTAAACGCTCTTAGACGATATTTATAACTTTTTCGATTTTAATACTTCTTTTTAGTATACCGATCGTAAGTAGCTATATTAGAAAGGCTACTTATTATATGGCTATTTAAGAACCGGAAAGTCGAGCTTTAGTATGTTGGTTACCGGGTGCTTCGGTCTCGATATTTATATTATTAGTTTTACTAATATTAATAATATAAGGCTTAAGGCCTTATTTACCGATTTTCCTTAGCGCTGCGTCGTTTTACTTAAAGACGTTAACGTAGTTAGTATAATACGAGCTTACGATATTAATAATAATAAATCTAATTTAGGTACAGATATATTATAAAGCCTATTAAAGCCTTATAAACCTCTTTTATTATTTAGATTACTTAACGTCTTTAATAGCGTAGCTTCGTAGGATAGCTATGTTCTTATTATAATAACGAACTATATTAAGTACTTAGACGACGCTCTAATATAACCTAGTTACGTTAATAAGAAAATTAAGTTCGGACTTACTAATACGGAGGTGATTTAGTAGTTATTCTATACTATTTTCGTATACTTAAAAAAAGAGATACTTAATATAGAGACCTAAGATAAGAATAATACTAGTATACGATAGTTAGTAGTTAAATTTATAAGTATTATACCGGAGTTATAATTTAGCCCCGCTAATATTCTATTATTTCTTTTTATAAATAAGGGATTGCCATCGAGCGCTTTAACCAATACGGAAGGATAGTTACTTAGAATTAAAAAAGCTAGAATACTTAGGCGTTGTAATTCCTAAGTTTAAAGTAACTAACTATAGGATAACTTATTTAAAATATTCGTAATAATTATTTTATAGCTCTAAAATAAAAATAAGATTTATCTCTAAATTCTTTCTAAGTCTAAGCCTAACTAACTAAATATAAGTATAAGAACTATTATTATAGCCTATACTACCTTCTAAATTTACTTTACTACCGACTACCTAAAGTATAGTACCTCTAGATTATATAATCCGTCTAGCTCTATACCTATTAAGTTTATAATATACAAAGTTTTATTCTTTTAGTACGTATATAAGTAAGCGCTAAAAAATACCGATCTTATCCTTATTACTAAAAAAAAAGGGATATTTAGTTACGTCATAAATATCCGCTACTTTTTATAATTATCTACGCAGTAAACAAAGATATTTTAATTAGTTTAGTACCCAAATATTATCTCAGTTTATAAAATATATAATAATAAGGCGAACTATTATATTACTTATAAACGCATACTACGATTATTATAAAAAGTTATTAATAACCTATTTCTTAATCGTTAACGCCTAATAATAATCTTATAATAAGTCTCTTCTTATAAAAGCCTATTTTATCTTATAAGTAAATATATAATCGAGGCACTAGTTTATTTTAAGAGAGTAGGGTCGTAATATAGCTAACGTAATTATTCTTATATTTTAATATTCCTTAGTAATAGGGTTAGGCTAAGTATTATTTAATTTCTTATTTATTAGCGAATTTAGTACTAATTAAAATATTTAAGTAGCTAAGAAATTTATCAACCGCGCAGCCGTAAAAAAAACTTAGGTAACCTAGGCTATATAATAATAGAGCTAATATAAAGATATATAAAAGAGGGTACTAATTTTAAGCCGGACGGTCCAAAGTATTAAGATTTAAAAGTCGTAAGCTTTTTCTTAGCAGTAATTATTATAATATTTGTAAGTAAGTTAAGCGAAGTTAGTCTATACCAATACTTTATTAAATTAGCTACTAATATATCTCTAGTATTCTTTTTTACGTTCGTAGTAAAAAAAAAAGTTAAAAGGACTAGTTATAATATAGATATAATAAGAATATAAGTATTTTAAGTAGCTAAAATAAAGTTAGCGTAAAATAAAATATTAAGTATTTCTTATTTAGCCCGTTTCTTAACTACTATATTAATTAAGGATAGTTACTAAGTAGGATCCTAAACTATAATTATAAATACTATTTTTTAAGGTACTAACCCCTAATAATAGTAATTAGTACGTAGCTTCTTCTATTTAAGTTATATTATTTAGGCCAAGAGCTTACTTAAGCGGACTCCTACGTATATAGTTTTACTTATATAGAACTCTACATAAGCGGATATATACTTAAGTATATTCCTACGCAAGCGGCTCTATTTAAGTATACTTATACATAAATAGCTCTACTTAAGTATAATATTACATAAGTAGCTTTACTTAGGTAGTATTTTTACATAAGTAAGTATGTCAAAGTAGTCTCTTATGTGTGTAGTTAGTATACTAAAAAACTCATTAGGGCCATGCCTACTCAAGTTAAAGATAACCGCAGCGCAAGCTCCTTATCTAACTTATATTAGGGCAGGAATTAAGTACGATGAAAGGTGCTAATTACTTAGCTATTCTGTGCGCATGGCACGGGTGAGATAGTGTATAACTCTGCTCATTTACTAGCTAGCCTAGACTATTACGTGGGTTAAGTAGCCAAATAATATATTTAGAAAAATAGACATGGTCTTATAAGTAAGAGTATTTCTTAAATTTTGTTCTATATTTAGTGCTATGTCTGAAAGTCCTAGGGCCATTCTCATTCGTAATTAATACAATAAATAAATAAGTACCTATCCGCTAAGACTAGAGAAGAGGCAATAAAAGGCAAGATCGAGCTGGGTAAAATTGTACTAATACTACAATTTTCCTTCTTAATAGAAGTAAATGAGAAGATCATAAGTAAGTAAGCCTAGTCTCTTGACAGTTGTCTTAGCTTTATTATTATTTAATAAGTCTTTATGTATAGCGAACGCCTCGAGGATAGCGTCTTATAAACCCTAATTAGTATTAATAGTGGAGGTATAGGCCTTGCTAGTAGTATATAGAAAGTCGCTAGGATCTTAAACCTATGCAGTAGTAGCCTTGAATTTACTTATAACGAGGTCCTTAAGGCCGTTAATAGTATATTTCTCTACTACTATATATACCTTAGTATATAAAAGTAGGTAAAATACGCTTACGGCTTTTTTTTATTTTAGCTCTAGCAACTATAATACGCTATTTATATAAAGCGATTATTAGTAGTTTAAGAGGTAAAAGTATTATATTATTATGTTAATAATATAAGGGTTATTATTAAAAAGGGTAATTAAATTATTAAAAATTTTTTATATTATTACGTATATTAGTACTAGAGATTTTGTACATAAGAAAAGTCTAGCTTATTTTAAAAGGATTATAATATACGCTAGTTAAGAAATTAAACCGTAAATAGATTATAGCATAGTAGACAGAATAAGTTTTAGTAATAAAGCGAATCGTTAGATCTAAGTAGATCTTGGTTTAGTAGAGGCTAAGACGTTATAAGTGGGAGATTAGGTAGATAGATAAGTAAATAGCGAGCGTTACTTCTCAAGGGATCCGAGGAGGTTTTTTTAGGGTCGGCTATTAAAAGCTATTACGGGTTAGGTTACGATAGTCACGGGGTTAGGAGCTAAGGCGAGTACTAGCGAGGTGGGCTCTTTGGGTAGAAATAGTTTTAAAAAGGCTCTGCGCGCAGCGTAAAGATATTTAAATATATTATTTTTTTAAAGGGATTATATTATAGTAATTAAGCGTTTTATAGAGAATCTAGAGACCTAAAGGTTATATTTATAGATAATGGGTGCGATAGCCTTCTGCTAGCGCAGCTAGCCGGTGTTAGAACCTAAGAATATAGCTCTATAGCCGGAGTCGCAATAGACCCTGATTCTTTCGGATCTGGATGGCTCTGTATGCACACTGGCATTCTGGTTGTTCTTGTATGGCATGTTCGCCAAATGTAAGGACTTGGAAGCAACTCATAGCCGATGGCTGGGTCGACGAATCATCGGAGGCAGGGCCAGCCATACCGGGGAGTACCACCCCCATGACCCCGCAGACCAGGCGAATGAATGCCCAGGCGACCCTCACCCTGCCGGTGGCTGCTCCCTGGTCGGTTGCCAACTCGGTGATAGCCAGGGGGCAACTGTCACTTAGGCAGTCTGTCCCGATGTGGTTGCCGGTGGGCGGCTCAGCCTGAGGAGACCTTTATTCATGGTCGCCAAGGCCTGCCCTTCGGGGTGATGCAGGAAGGCCGAAAGACTACTTCCAACGTGAGTGCTCCGCGATACAGATCTCAGACCTGGCGAGGTATGACGTCGTGATTTCGCCGTCGCCGTTATCACCAAGTGCATCAGCTATGCGTTGGCCAAGACTGAAGCTACGTGTATTCTGGACGTCACGTCCGAGGCGCTTTGGGTTGCTCATTGTTGTCCTGTACTATACGAGTATTGCGAAGATGGGTTCTAGTATCCCGCGCCGGCTGTGCATTCATCAAGGAGGAGTTCCAGCGAGGCTAAGAATTTTGGAAAGTTCCCTTGCCGTTTGAGTGGTAATCTGCGCGGCGCGACGTAGCGGTAATCAGAGGCCTTGACGGTGAACTTGGAACGCATGTGAACACCTGAGCCACAATCAAGGCAAACCGACCGTGACTAGTAAATCACACAGCTCCTCAATACTTCCAAGTCCCTGAATAACACCATGACCATGTAAGCAACTTTCACAAACGACTCTTGGTTCGTCTGTATCAATCTGTACACAAGGAGCCACGGAGAAGCAGCGCAGCAAGCTCATTAGTAACGAGCTGACTGTCTCCGTTCCCAGATGCGTTTCCCTACGTCTACCTGACCGTACCGCCGCAGCATTTTACCGGCGTCCTGCTACGCTAGCCCCTCTCACCAAAGTCAGTTTGGATATTGCTTTGCTTCCCCTACTGATGTATGACTGCCGGCAGCCCTTCACAGGGATATCTCATAGCCGCATCGCTTAGCTATATCTCCCCATCAGCTGTTTGTGAACAAAGTTTCCTCCCCAGCTGGTAATGAAACTCTTTCCGGACTTGTCGATGTGTTAATCCTCGGAAGCGTGAGGAATACTCTACTCGTTCATGGGTAACAAGAGCACCACCCGAGCTGGTTCCCAGATCCACTGGAATGGCATACTGCCCGATGTCTGCACGGCGACGGAACCTGCCTGCGCGATCGAAAAACCCATACACAGCTCGAGTCGACCCGGCAGAATCCTTCGTTTCTCCAAGCCTGATGTATTTGTAGGTCATGTCAGCGGCTATCTTTGACGTAGACGCTGTATCGACGGCGTGTCAGTCCAGAGCCCAGCTTCGTCGATGCTGCTTGGTCTCGACTGGGTAGTCGACTTCTTTCCGTTCTTCTTCGGGTCGTGTCGGTCGGCCAGCAAGTGTCCTTTACTAGTCTTGTTAGTCATGCAAATACGTCGCAAGGCGCTGCAAACCTTTGAAGGTGCCTATATAGACTACATCATCGTCGTTCGATTCCTTGGGTGACTGTGGTCCAAAGCCCGATGTAGTTGCTGCGGTGTGCTCAACCATATTGAATGGCCTTCGCGCCTTGTGCATGATGAACTTGACAGGCCGCATGGGCAAAGAGGGCAACAGCCACGGAAAGTCGGAAGGGTGACTAGGTCTCTTGATTGGGCTTTAATTTGCGGGGCCAATGGGGGTCCTCGCCCTTCTTCGTTGGACCAGCGATAGATAGAGTAGGTACACAGACACAAGTGAAGCCCATCGGTTCTCTGTTGTTCTCTCTCTCCTCCAGATCCACTCCCAGCTTTTTGCCCGAGGCATCCCAATCACTTCGGACCCCTGCTGAGTCTCCAATCCAGAACTGGAGCTAGCGACATCACACTCTCAAACTCGGTCTTCTAGACCCACGATACGTCTATGATGTACCTTCAGTCCAGCAAGCCATGGCTGTGCTACGATTTTGGAATGCTTATGGAGACAGGAAACAGAATCGAGGTACCTGGCGGAAGTGCAGGCGATCTTGGAATCGGATCTGTTCTGGAATCGAGGTACTCGGGCTGCAGAAACACGAATCTGCTTTTTACCTTTGAAAGTGTACTATGAAGTTTCGGGAAGATTCTGGAATACCTACAGCTTTGAGGAAACAGATCCATTCCACCATTTGCAATCCCTGCAGCACTTAGAGGGACGACCTTCATTCGAGGTATTCTTGGAACCGGGCTGCGAAGTACGTACAACGAGATTCTTGCAGATGCGCGTACGCGCAAAGGAAAGGGACATGACGAAAGTACGGAACCGTTGCCATGGCTTGATAGCATGCGACCCGCTTCTATGAACACACCCTGCCAATAATGGTCTAATCTGTTTCAAAATTGCAGTCTCACTCGGAGGTATTATCAAAATCAACAAGCAGATTCTAGTCTCCGGAAAACCCCAAAGCCATCCTTGGAAAGCCAAAATTTGCGGCCTTCTTTCACATCGGAGAAAAGTGGAAAGGTGGGCGGCTAGTGAAACGTTTCCTGCGATGTCGACGGCTTTGGTGCGTCCGTACATGTTCCAGAGCAACCCCGCCGACAGTTTCGATTGGCTAGCTGCGGATTGTCTCACGACTCCCTTGCGTACCCCTCCCAGCCACCCTGAAGCTGACTTTTGCTGGTTTCAAGTTCGGGGAATTCTCTACGTTGCAGATGTCACGGCGGCTTCTTCTAACGCAGCGCAGGTTTGCCAACGAATCCGCAGTCATCCAGAGCTTGGTCCGCCACCAAGTTCCGAATGCCGCGGCCCTTTGGTACGACGGCCGGCGGGCAGCTCCCATTGATTGAGTAGTTTGCGCAGGTAATGCTTTCCCAAGGCAGGACCCGTGGGCCATCGTTCCTGACGATGAGGTGCTCGACCCCAGTACCGTTCAAGAGCGTAAGCGCAGAGGAAAGCGCATCATGAGTCCTCCTAGTATGGTCCCAGCTAGTTGATGTGAGTGAAAACGTGATACTCCAAGAATGACCTAAGCGATACCTACTTTGTGAGATCTTTTGTCCAGTTGAATGACAGCGCCGCGAAGTTCTGAGATATATTTATCGATCCTTATGCTCTATTGAGAAAAAGTAGTTGGTTGTATTCTAAAGGTGTCGAATGTTTTTGTTTTTTAGTTGATAATTGCGAGTATTTAATGATTTTTATTGTGATCTGATATTTGATCTGCCGCGTTGACGTTGATTGGTAGTACTATACCGTCAAACCTTTTGGCGAATGCATAGGCTCCTGAGGGCAAGAACGGCTCCGAGAACTGCATAAGCAACGGGTCTATGGTGTGAAGTGTAGAAGTGCCACAAACTGATTGAAGAATGGCAAGAAAAAGGATGTTGTTAATATACCGTCCTGGATAAAATTGATCCAGCCTTTGTCTGAAATGAGCTTGGTCGCGACATGATAGCTAACCGACGTGGATATGCTCGACTGCTTCATCTATCAATTTCACGATGGACCTCGAGAAAGGCCTATGGCTGGTTCTCGGTTGGGTAGAAGAGTTGGGGTTGTGATCGGGACCGATGTTGATAAAAGACGCTGCATTCGGTTCGGCCCCATACCTGGGGCTGTGCTCTGTTGTTAAGTCAACGAAACATATATTACGGGATGCCGGGTCGGCTCGGCATCCTCTGACAGTGGCACGATCGACTCCGGTCAGACTTGCATTGGTCTCTGCGAGCGATGTCGAATTCAGAGGTGTACTAAACGCTTCTTCTCTGCAGGTCACGATGGAAGAAGTAGACGGTAAGCGAACGGACAGGACGCATGCTTGCGCCTCAACAAGCTTGCCAGCGTTGGAGCCTAGAGAAGAATTTTGTGTCGATGAGGGTTCATAGATTGGACTGACGCTCGACAATCGACCAGGCTGACTGAAGCAGTGGAGATGTCGCCGAACGGTTTCGTCAAGAAACTTGACTTCGCTTTCGACTCTCGATGGCTATGGTGGCTTTGCAAACCACGAGCGTTCCGCACAAGGAGTGGGACGAATTTTCGTACATAAACGGGAAGGGTCTGATGCCGCCTCTGGGAGACAGAGACAATAAATAGAAGGCTGAGTGCAGATCAACCTCCATGCCAGTGATGGCTCACTCGTTCCCTTGTCTGCCTTATTCCTCACGGCGCTTCCGTTCATCCAATCACCGAGACTTCGGCCTGCCTGCTAAGCGCCGCCGATTGGTCGATGGCGCCGTATCGGTATCCCTCAAGGAAGACATGCTGCTTAGTGTTGCTATTTCCGTCGTTTTGACCCCTTAATGCCTAAGGCAAACTTTTGTCAAAAAAGCACTGGACTTCGAGTATTCGTGTTGGAAAATGTTAAGAACGGCAGTAATATATATATATATACATAGTTTATTACGCCCCGGCTAAGCTATTTAGGGCTCGTATAATTATCTATATATTCTCTACTTTCGTTCACATCCTTACCTCCCAGAAGCCTATATAAGTCTTATCCATCTCTATATATATTATTTTTAGTTTTATATACTAATGCTACAGTTACTCGTAGTATTAGTAATAGGCTATTTTAAAGTTGCTCCTAAAGTATTCGGCGTCCTATTATTAGTAGCCGAAGCTAGTCTTACTATTAATAATACGAGGGTATATAGGGGTTATCGTCAGTTAGTATATTAATATAAGTAGTATGTAATCTCGCTACTAGTTAACTTATATATCTAGCCTCCCCGTATTTATAATAAACTTAATCGTCTCTTTAATAACGTCTACGTTTAGTAATTAGTTATTAGGGTTAGACGTACTTTTTTTTTTTTAAAAAAGTACGATAAGTTCTCTTTATACGTTTTTATTTATTAAAATATCTAACTTCGTTATACTATTTATTATATATAATAAAAAAAAAAATGCTCTACTAATTCTATTACTTACTTATAAGCGTAATACGCCGAGGTAATTACTCTAATTTAGTATAAGTATTAGTTTAGTCTTATTATATTAGTGCGCAGTTATACTAAAATACTAGCTTTTTTTTAAAAAAGCTTATTATATAGCTCGCATATATATTTTTTTAATAAAGCTATATCGATTTTTTTTAAAAATACTCTTATATTATTAAGTAAAGCTTTATATTTCTATTATACGCTCTATAAAGCGATCCTAAGTACTATTAAGTAGGCTTTAGTAAGTCGTTTTTATAATATTTTATTTAGTTTCGTACTTTTTTTTATTATAGCTTTAGCTACTTATACTAAGTTTAACTTTATAGTTAATAAGAACTAGAAGAGCGTAACTCTATTACTTTTTTTTTAAAAATTTTATATACTAGTATATAGTTAATAAATCTCTTATTAGCCCGATTATTACTACGGGTTACGGATAATTAGTATAGCCGCTTTATTATAAGTAAATACGTAAATAGCTTAGTAATCGAGCCTCTATAAAAAAGACTTAATTACTTTTATTAATACCGCTAGTTTTATTATATATAGGTTTAGCTCTATTCCTAAACTAATTATGCACAAGGCTATTATTATACCGCTACCCCTTTTAAGTAATATAAGTAGCGTTATAACCGTTCTATAGCTTATAACTCCGTTTCTTACCGAGCTCCCTATTACTATTCTTATTACCTACCTAAATTAAATTATTTTAGTAGCCTTAACTGCGTTATTATTAATTACTATATTAATACGGGCTTTTTATAAAGTTATTAAATACTTTTTAATAGTTTTTAGCTTATTAAGCGGTTAGTTATAATAAGCCTTTATTATTAATTAGAAGGGTAATAAAAACTGTTTAAAGGCTACTGCCCGTAAATATCGAGGCGGATATATTTTAAGAAGGCTTTGTATCCGTACTTAGAATATTATTAATTTTTTATTAAATCTTTTTTATACTAATTATATACTTACCTCTATTTCAGTAACTACTATAGTTACTATATTAAAGGTTTTTTTAACCGCTTAAGTACTAATTTTTTATACTTAGTTAATTATTTTTATTTATACTGCGCAATATTTATATTTTTAAATATTTAATATATAGTTTATTATTAGTACTACGGCTATAACGAAAAGCTATTTAGCCGTTATTAGAAATAGGCCTTTAAGCTACTTAAGCCTTAATACGGCCTCTAACCCTTTTATTATTACGTTTATAATATACTTTTTAAATTATAGTTTCGTATTTATTATTACCCCTAGTACCTTAACGTAGTCCTTTAGTTAAATAGTATCGCTTTTAATAATAAAGCTAGTTAAGTCTAGTAGTAGTTTTTAGTTATACGTAAAGTAAATAAT